CGTCCGATTTAGCCACCGAGTCCGAATGCACTCCCGACGGCCTCTACCATCGAAGCGGCGGGGACTCGACCCCGCAAGGCTTCTGCCCCCGCAGCTCGGACGTCGCCAAGGTTCTGCGCAGTCGTTCGTCGACACGCTGGTGGCCACCAGCACCGCCGACCCGATCCGGGCGCACTTCGTCGGCCAGCGCGATGCGCGTCGTCGCATCGGAGTGTACGTCGTGCTGTCCGGCCTGCTCGTCGGCTTCCTCTTCACCTCGTCGATCGCGTGGGTGGCGCTGACGGCCGCGGGCGTGCTCGCAATCGCGGAGGCCTACCTGCAGCCGCGCAGCCGCGACCCGACCGTCATCCTCGGCTACGTGGACGGTCCGCTCCTCGTGATGATCGGTGGCCTCTTCGTCGTCATCGCGGGCTCGCGCCTCACGGGGCTGCCGCAGGAGATCTTCGACCTTGCGAAGTCGATCAAGGGCGTCGGCCTCGACTTCGACTCGCCGAAGGATGTCTGCGTCTTCGCCATCCTCGTGCTCATCCTGTCCAACATCTGCTCCAACGTGCCCACCGTGATGCTCCTCTCGGGCCAGATGATGAAGCTCGATCCGTCGATCGTCGTCGAGACGGGCTGGGTGATCCTGGCCTTCTCGAGCACCGTCGCCGGCAACCTCACGCTCGTCGGCTCGATCGCCAACCTCATCGTCGCCGAGAAGGCCGCGCGTACCGGCTACGAGTTCACCTTCTTCCGCCACCTCGCCTTCGCATTCCCGACCACGCTCGTCTTCGCCCTGGCCGGCAGCTTGCTCCTATTCTACATCGTGTGACACCCTACGAGGCCCCCCCCCGGGGGGGGCGTGTCGAGCGTCGTGTGTGGGCAGCTTAAGGGCTCGACACAGGCGCCGGGAGAAAAATTGAACACCCTTACTTTCGGCCCTTGCCCTGCGAACGCGCACCCCCGGGGCTAGGGCTCTCTAGCCCGTAACCCGATGCCGATCATCCGGCCCGCTGGGTGCGCTTCTGAGCTCCCCGGCCCTGGATGTGAGGTTACCGACTGCACTCCAAGTGCTCCAAGTGCGCGTCTTCCCGTCAGCGCGAGTCGGTCGGTGGCATCGGATCGGTCGGACCGCAGCTTACCGCTATTCTTCGTTTTTGAGCGGAGGCACGCACACTGGTGCTGAACCTTCTTTTCTGCAAGTGTTGGATTGCAAGCAGCCTCGCTCGCAATCCTAGAAGTCGAACGAACGAAGGATTGTGAGCGACACTCGCACATAAATAATGGCTAGCTCCATTTCACTCCAACACGTGGCGGCGCGAGCGAGCCAAACGCATCGTTGTGCCACCGAGTCGACGGCAGAGAGTCGTTTTTGAGAGTTGGGAGAGGGAATTTGCGCGTTGGAGGGAACTTCGAGGGGGTGCCATGCTGTGCTTACGTGAGCTGTGTGAGCTGTGAGTGGGCTTCTGGGCATTCTCTGAGTGAGAACCTGTGTACGAAGGTGGTTACTGTATTTCTCTCGCATCTCGGTGTTTTTGAGAGAAGTTTATGAGACGAGACCCCCAAGACACCGAATCCGAAACGCGAAAGCAAAAAACGGATGCAACGCATAAGCATGCATGTGAGCTGTGCCAGCGTGCCACCGGGCAACGCCCAAAATCACCCAACACTTCCGCCACGCCCACCGCGTCCGCCACGCCCGCCTCGGCCGCCTCGGCCGCCTCGGCCGCCACGCCCGCCACGCCCGCCACGCCATCCGCGCGACTGCTGCTGCTGCTGCGACTGCACTGCTGCGACTGCTGCTGCTGCTGCTGCATCAGCCTCTCCACTGCCCTCGCCCTCGCCGCAGCCGCCATGACAGCTGCCTCCCTCTCCCTCACAGCTGCCGTCTCCCTTGCCGCCTGCCTCGGCCGTGCCCGAGAGATGTGGGCGTCGATGTCGGCCCCGCCGCGACCGCCCGCGGGTTGCGGGCTACGGGCTGCGGCTGGCCCAGCGCGCGCAGGCGGCTGGTGGACGAACGTGGTCTGCGCCGCAACATGCGCTCCGACTGCGGCGATGGGAAACGCCGGCTGGCGGCAGGCCGGGCAGTTGGTGTCGCGCTCCAGCACGCGCGGCGCACATGCCTCGCAGTACAGCGCGTGGCCGCAAGCGAAGCGCACCGAGCGCGGCGCTGACCAGCACAAGTCGCACTGGCGCTCCGCGTCCGCGTCCGCCTCGGCTGCCACCGCCGGCGCCCCCGCGAGGCTCGGTGGCGGCGATGCCGCCATCTCCTCCGCCGCCTCGGCCAGCGCCTCCAGCCGCGGCAGCGCCTCTGCGAGCGGCATCCGCCTCTTCTTCCTCACGAGAGCCAGCCCAACCACGAGCCGCGCCAGCTCCTCTGCCTGCGCCGCCGACCAGCCCGCGTCGGCCGCCGCGATGCTCTCCGCCGTGTCGGGCTCCTCCAATGCATCGTCGCACGCGTTGAGCAAGCCGACGGCGCCGCGGCCGGTCAGGGCGACGAGCAGCGTGATGCCGAGCGCATAGCCGTCGGTCAGCTGAGACGCTTGGTTGTCCTGCATGATGATCGGGTCCATGTCACCGACCAGCGCCGTCTTGACGGCGAACCCGCAAGCGACACGCGGCAGCGACGGCAGCGCGTCGGCGCGGTAGACGCGCCCGAAACCGCCCTCGCCCACCTTGCGCGCCTCGGCAAAGCCGTCGGTCGCCGCGATGAGCTCGTCGAGAGGGACGGCGGCGGGGGGGGCGGCTTGCGAGGCGCGTGGGGCGGTGCGTTGGGGGGGCGAGATGGGGCGGAGAGCGTTGGGGCGGCCGTTCCTGCTCGCTGCGGGGCTGCTGCCGTTCGCGTGGTTCCTTTTGGGTTCTCCGTTCTCTTCTTCCTCCCCTTCCCTTTTTCTCTTTCTTTTTTTCTTTGTTTCTTTTCCTCGTCGTTCTCTCTTTTCTTGCCTCTCTTTCGCTCTTCGTTCTTCT